AAGCGAAAAACTTTAACTGTGCCCGAACAACTTCGGCCAACAACTTCTACATGATACTAGCAAAAGCAATAACAGGGTACAGTTATCCCTATACTAAAAGTATTAAATGCTTTTGCAACTAAAATATAGCCTAGGTCCGATAACGTGTTCGAGTCGATACGTCTGCCCCGGCTGAATTTGTTGAAGTCTATAAACTTGCAGGCAGCGATGTGCGATAGACTTTGTTTCAACCCTCACGAGTGTTTCCATGCGTCCTTTCCGACTTCACCGGTAACGTCATTGTTGATACCGGTTAGTCATTTTACTCAGCTCGATTCAAAGGACATAGTCGCCATAGAGTGGAATCGATCTACGTTAGTCGGTGTACTGCCCCCCCTTCTCTTTTCACAGCGATATTCAGCTAAAATTAAATAATAGCCTAGCGTTCACGTTCGCTAGCTGAACCTCAACTTGAATTCGAATTGCTTATACGACGATACTTTTTTGCTGTATCTGTGTATACATGTGATTCAGTACGTACAACCTAATCGAAAGACGGATCCCAAGCCAACTTATTTTAAGTTTACTAACGCACACGTTCGGAGTTTTATGTTAGTTACAGAGAAGTACTATTTTACTTAAAGTAGTAGTTTATAGCATAACATGGATAAATAATCTTATTAACTGAAAAGTCGGAAGTGCAGAACAATGTACTCGTCATTACTAAATTGATTTATGTTTCCTAGCTGCTATACCTATAAAGCCCATCTATCAAAACTATTTTAATTGCTCTGATTAATAAAGTACTCATTTGAAAAATAGTCACCTTTAGGCCGAACATCGAACCTAAATGCGTTCGGCGCCCAAAGACCTGATCGACTGAGGATCAGGTTCGGTATGTGGAAATTACCACAATGTTTACCCGCAGGCGTAGCGATTTCAGTAAAAAAAACACAGGTAAAACGGGAAATTTCAGGTGAGCAGGACAGGAACTAGTTTGGGCTTTATTAGCTAATAGTAATTATCGATCGCGCCCCGTAATAGTAGAACTTAGGCTGAATTTTTTCTTTTCTTTTGTATTGTACGCTGACAAAGATTTTTCGCTGAGGTGTTGCAATTTTCATTATTATCATTGTGCTTTATTTGAAGATTTGCAAAACTTGTGGCTTTCAGATTGAATTTTGTTTGACGCTTGTTCGAAAGAGAAAAATTGTAGTGTACGCGTTAGTAATCGACAATGTCAGATGACATTGGGTACATTTGAAACTGCTTTTGAAAGATGTAGAGATGATTTTTTTGTAATCTTCGTTTCAGAAAATCGATATGTGCTAGACGAACGTATCATTTTTTTTATCTGCTGACCAATATTTATTTTGAGTAACACACTTTTAAGGCTTTTTCGACATTTGACGACCGTCATATGAATTCTATTAGAGTTTAAACTAGTAGTACTAAAGACAAATCTGGGCCGGTCTACATCGTATGTATTGGTCCAGCCATGGATAGTCTTTGGGTTGGTGATAGTAGATCTGTCTGCAAAGGAACGAGGATAGGGCAACGAGGGTTAAGAATTATCTAGGTCATTCAGTAGTATACGATATCTCGTCGTGTGCATGAGTGTGCTTAAGAGAACACAGATCTGGATGGATTATCTCGGTCACGACACCGTACCGAGTAATCTCGCTTTGAATCGGATCCTTTTCAAAGAACTTTAACCGTTTTGCCTGCAGACATCCTGCTGCGATAAGGGCCGCTTAAAACATCACGCAACAATCACCAGTGCTCACGATATCCAGCAGCTGACTCTTATGGGGACTAACGAGTCAACAGAATGTAGTACATGCTTAATAAAATTCATCCCAAAATTCGAACGTGATAGTCTCGTTGTTTCAACAGTGCGTTACGGTTGATTGAAGTTATTAAAAAAAGTCAAGCAATAAAAATAAAACCTAGAGTTTTTACGCGGATATTAGTAATTAAAAATAGAATAATCAAATAGCGTTCGACGCCAAAGGCTAAAGACGACATGTAGTTTAAAATGATGTCGAAAATATATGTAAGGCTGCAGCGCTAACTTCAGGAACGCCTCGGCTGGTGATGGCAACTGACCAGCTTTCAGACTATTTTCTTTTTTAAGAAAGAGACTACGGTGGCCTCGGAGCACGAGCCGTCCAGTATCTGCGTCGTTCATTGGTATCTGTCGTATAGGCCAAGGCGTCAACTTTGCACAGTAATCTACTAATAAAAAAAAAATCATAAACTGATTCAGCTGGGATCATCTATCCTCTACAGGCTTTCGACAAGGTGCATCTGGCGGTTGCGCGTAATTCATTGGCCGCTTCGCTAAGACGGTGAGCAGTCCACAATGATGAATGGCGCCTTTCCTGTTGAAAACATAATATGATCCTTCATAACGTCACTGCCTTTTCGAACACTGTTTTGTAGCTAATATATTTTACCCAGTCAAATGATTTCGATGTTCTTTTTTTTGTAAAGTAACCACTTTGTCAGATGCAAGTAGAGCGTGACTGGAAGCAATTTGTGTCTTATTTTTTTTAATGGTGCTCTGTGAGATGTTTTTTTTTTGTGTCAATCAGTACCGGGTCATCATGGCAGGCATAATTGTTTGTGCCGTTCGAATCTCTCCGTTAATGATATGAGATCTACCAGTTCATTATGTAATTTAGTCATACTGTTTCCTGAGGACCTGCATCGTTGTATTATATCTAATTGCGAAAAGGTTAAATAAGCGCTACTTTATTAATAAATCATGGTTCGTATTAGATGCGTAAGTAATATCTGCTGCTGCTGCTGTTGTTGTTGTTGTTTGGGTGATCATACTAGCTGATCTAGACTGGCATCCTCCGCTCTATCATTTTGTCCATATTCTGGGTTAACTTTGGCTTCAAAGATGAATGTATACATTGGCGCTAGAGCAGACGAATTTTGCCATTTGTTTGTTTTGTCTAATGCCCTTACTTAGGATATCATTTCGCGTACGTTAAGGACCAAATAGTCAAGAAATGCAGGTTTATCTAATAATTATCCTCCTGTCTCACCTCGACGAAAGGCACCTAAAAAGTGCTCAGCGAGCCATCAGGCACACTCATCTTCAGAGCGCGGTCCCAAGGTAAAACCTTTTGACTCAAGAGAAACGGCGAGCTCAATACTGCAGGCCAAAAAAAAGAGTTTTATAACTTATGTGACGAAATATCATGCAAAACTATAATTGTAAGACACTTGATGTTGCTTCGCAAAAAAGGTGCCGAAATTTTTAATCAATCTGTTATAAATTGCAGGCTCCAAATCTGATTTGGCTCCATGGGGTAGATCTGCCACGTTATGGTATATACAGAACGTGTTTTACAATAACAGAAAAATAACAACTCAATTGGTTGCTTGGCTGTCTTTTACGTTTTGTATGAGCTTGAATCATCGACGACACATCAGGGCAAACGTTGAATAAAGAAAACGTCAACGGCTGATTCGAATACGTGCTGCCACGCAAATCTGCGTACGTTCGGCACCTGGATGGATGGATTTCGAGGACGAACGAAAGCAGATACCCTATGGGTGAACAGTTTGGTCACGCCGTGTTACTTTGTTGCCTAATATTACATTATGTTATGTCAATGCTAGTTTGTATGTAGTTACTTGAAATGGGGGCTTATGACTAGTCGGGTAAACACGGGTATTAAAAGCGTGAATCGGCCGAGAGTTAGGTACAAAAAAAAAAATGATATTACGCCCTGCACATAAATAATGTAAAATATGTTAACGAAATTACTCGCCTGATTTCCGTCTGTGCATTTATGCTTAGGTGTAAATGAATAACAGTTCGCTTAGTCCGTTGTCTGGCTGCAACAAGGGCACGAAATGATGCTAGAGGGGGCGCAGAGAGGTTTCAAATCACAATAGGTTTACGATAGAATTCGATCATGATTCGACTAAAGAAAGATGGCCTCCAGCGCATAAATATGATGCAGCGGTGTGAGAAAGAAAAAAATAAACATTTAAACTTAGATATTTATAGCCGCTAGGTGCGAAGACACCGCACGGCGAGTGGAAGGCTCTCGTAGTGTACAAAAGACCTAGTAAAGTTAATATGAAACATAAACCTAATATTAAAGTTCGAAGTATCGAATGAACAAGGATGTAATATGTATTTCATAGTAATGGGTAGATAAAACTATGCATTTAATAGCTGTATAATTGAAACGTAAAAATGGCCTAATGCCATTTGGTGAGATATATAACTTCATGTTGTTTAGTCTGTAGGACAAATAATGCGGTTCTGCACAAACTACTGAAACAATATACGACTGAGCCATGTTGGCTCAATCGTATATTGTTTCGATAATAACCTATTTAATTAAAATACCATGACAAACTTTTCGGAATACCTAATTCTAACGGTAGAATCATCGCCGCCGTTGTTGTTAGTGCTCCCCCCTCAAATAAATTCATAGAACATTAGGGCCTGTATAGGCGACCATAAGATACGCCGATGGTGAATATATATTTACTCCAATGTACGAATAGGATGATATAACGGAGTCGAAACAATTTTGTCTGAAGAGAAAATGAAAAGGCCTCATGCTAGCACAACAACAGCTTCAGCTCCTGGTTCCGCTTTAAGGAAGATAAGATAAAACATAGGAAGCATTAAGCGACAAGGCCATCCACTGATGCCATAGCTGAAATAATTATCTAGCCTATATACTATTACACCATAACGTGCTTGGGTGGGTTCATGCACGACGAATTAAATCACGTATCAATACCTGCATATCGGACCCATCGAACTGTATAAATAAATGTCGTTGTTATAGAATACAAATTTTTTTTACCCGCAAAATTACGTTAGAAACTTAGTTAATTAGAAAGTTACGTTAGCAATTTCTGCGAAAAATCATCTAAACAATTCCTATGTGGTAAGGGACTTGTTAGAGCTGTTGTACACGGTAAAGTGTCTTGCATATGTCGTATGAGATACTATGTGTGAATCGTTTACTTTGCAGGTGATCGAAATAGGGAACAAAATGTCCAGCAGGCTGGTAAGTGCCTTACTCTGTTTGCTAGAAACTAACCTGTACGATTTTATTACATCTTTTAATGTTTATGACCGACACACTTAACGTTTATTGATAGCCAATTGTATAAGGTGACCCATCATACATCGGCAATGAATTAGATTGTTGCATGCAATCTGTTAGTGGCACACAGAATAAATTAAGTGAGTAATACCGTCCATCATTAGACTGGTCGTACATAGGATAGCTATAGCCATTTAGTATAATCGCTCAGTTCGTGTGCTATTCTCGACTTGCCCGCTATCGTAGCCCTATCGAAGATCGCCTAGGTCCAATGCAACGTCTCGTGCCGTTCGGAGCGAAACAGCTTGGACATGCTGCTGGGAAAACAGCTCACGCTCTGAAGCAGGAAACAGAAGACAGAAATCGGCTATTAAGTGCGCGCTTTAATTGAATTCCGTGGCAGCTAATATGCGTGTCCGCTGGAATTCGGACAACTTTCTAAGTTAAAGCCGGTTAATTATGAGTTTTTTAGAGTATCATCGAAGAATGCAGCAGCTGCCACGTGCATGCACGTGAATTAGTTCCTGTGTGAGTAACAATACCGAACACATGCTCCAAACGAAGCTGTTATCGAAAAGAAGTTATAAAGCTCTATCGAGTATGCATACTCCAGGGCGTGACAGCTTCGGGCAGACATTTTAAGGTACCTTCAAACTTCACTAACAAGTATGGAAACAGAACGCTTTTGCAGTCAGTAACAATGTCAGTTTTCACATTACAGCAATGAATACACTAATTAAGAAATTACCTGCAAAAAAGGAGCGATATCTCTTGTAAGTTACTGCACCGCACCATTTTAGGGTAACTTTGAGTGGTAGCCATGCGCGTGGGACCACGAAATGATGCGTCCCAAATTCTGATAAGGGGAGAGAACGATTACACTCGGCGGTATGCTTACCGGTGCCAGTCCCATATAGTATAGCACACAGTTGTTAATATCGTCACGGGCAACAGACATGGCTGCTCGGCAAAAACTGAAGAACGCAGAAGATTGCTTTGATACCCTTTGCCTTGGGCTTTCAATTACACTTACTTCTTTTTATTGAGAACAGAAATCTATACCTATGGCGGGCTGTCAAGAAAGCGCGTAGGGCCTATGCCAGGTAACGGACGGTCTCATTAATGAGACAGAAAGAGAGGAGAAAAGGCCAAGCTATAAGCCTTTTAGGTACGTAAGCCATATATGCCAGATGGTCGGTCTGGCAAAGTACCTGGCAAACAATGGCAACAAACTCACTGGAATTGCGCAACATCGTTACCGGAGAACTCTTGGTGAAGTCCGTTGTCTTTGCATTAGAATGCGCGTCTCTTCTGTTTGTGAATGCCATATAGCGTTGATCTATTTTTATAAAGACGACTAAGATTTCCACGAAGCTTCACGTTCCGAAAATGACCATACCTTCTGGCACCCGTATAGTGTTTTATCGCGATGGGCATGAACGATGCATCTATCTAGTTCACAGCTGAGAGAAGCATTTATTCACACCTCAGGTATATGAGACCAAGCGTATTGACTTAAGATCGGAGTATCTCGTTCAATTAATGTGGCCGCCAACTGCATAAAGCATTGTTTATCTCATATGTCTTATGTTAGAAGTTAAATAACGAAAAAAGCACGACCGAGTAACGAGCCATTGGCGTAATGGCACAGGACAACAACCTTACAGAAATATCAACAACTAGCTAAAACTCAAAGTCCTCTGGGGCTTAAGTGCTATTGCTGACACCGTTTGGTAAACAAAGTACCGTTAATTGCCACGGCACATCCTCAAGTTAAAGCATAGATCCAAGTAATGATTTCTTCTATTTTGATCCTTTGAGAACGTTAGTAATATCGTAAGCTGCAAACATGTTCAGTAAGTCAGCTTCGCGAAGTTCTGTTATCAAGTAATTATTAAGGGGAAGAAGCAAACAATGACCATAAAGAGCTAAGGAAAACTCCTACAAGAGCCCTTGTGGGTGCTTGACGTCGCCAATATTTCTGCCATTTGCGTGGTCAAACCTGAACCCGAACGGCGACTATATAGATAGGGGTGCGTAGAACGAAGTTGACATGTCACTTCATCGTAGAAGACTACGCGTGTCCTTTTAAATATGGTGCACGATCTTGCCCTCCCGTTTTCTCCAGCGCTGTCGTGTTATTATTGGTGAAGATAGCACGCTCTCACCATGTCATTGAATTGAGTCCAAAAGCTGGTTGTTTGCTTTTGCAGTCACTTAAATTCGAGTGATATTTGTATCTGTGAAGACTAGCCAGTGAAATCAATCTCATGAGTGATGTCCTCAGGCTAAAGAATTCATCAGTGAGACCACGTAGCGTTGAGATGGCACGTATATCTAAGAATTTCCTTAATATATAAAAAAAAAGGGCTCATCACTGGACGTCAGGTACGATGAATCCAATGATTTGCGCAAAAGCCTTCATTAAGACGTGCACTGTGTATAGTGAATTTGTTCTAACGAATATACTATATCTACATTTTCTATTGAGCTTTATCCGAATAATAATGAAATGTGTATTGCCGAATCTAAACCCGGCGCACCTGTTTTCAAAAGGTAGTTACCCATGCAAAGAAAGCATCTAATACAAATACTCAATAAATAGCAGCTAAATCGAAATATTCTTGCTCTACAAAGATATATTAGGGTTCGTACACCTATGAAAAACTAAACGAAATACAAAAAAAAAATCGATTGAGACAATTAAATCCAATCATGGTCAAAAACAAAACTTTATTATATTTTTTCCCATTTATGTAAATATAAAAATGTTAAATACACCGTCTTAGAACGTTCATGAAGATTAAAATGTGCTGTGACAGCCGGGTAGGGTCGTATCTTTTGACATAATCTCAACAAATCCAATACTATAAGGTCCACCGAAGTCGATATAGGTTTTGTAATGTTTTTATCTCGTTATATAATAGCACGTGTTAATTGCGGACGCGTGGGATGACAAGGTTTACTGTCTGGGGTGGCTGCATTTGCCCTGTAGTAAGACGGGAGACTCTTCTTATGGAAGACTGCTCCATTATTACTATAACCAACAGAAAATGCCACGCAACAAGCAATATCTATATCATCCAAAGCTATTTCCGAATGTCTTTCTGCGGCGGAGTCAGCCGTAAATCGTTTGCTTGGTATCTAACTGCAATGGCAACTTACTTCATACAAAGAGAGTAAAACGTTTGAGAGCCGTATTTGCAAAAGTAAATCACGATATAAAAATTTTGCTAAATAACTATAGACTTATTTCTTGCTTACTAGGCTTCCGCTGACGTTTCTTGACAAAGGTTTAAATACAATTATATAATAATCCGACAAGCGGATATAAGCGAAGTGTTTGATAGACCATTTGGTTTCGCTTTCCAACTGACAAAAATTGGCTTGTGTTCCATTAACTCAGGAGTGAGGAGAACAGTTTCTCCAAATTTTGACCGCATATAAACGCGGCGTCGTGTGCAAATAGAGGAGACAGGGTTCAATAGTGGCCTGCTTTCAGGATACAAGAAATCACAGCCAACCGTAACCCCATTTAGGCACCGAGCGAGCCAGTCTTTGTTGTGTCTGTATTGCAATAGCCTGTCGACCTTAAGTAGCGACTGGAAATTTTGTGGTATAGCAGAAACAGTTCCTCGAGGACAAACCCCTGTCTACTTATACCGCCTTGTATGGCCACAACGTTATCAGAACTAATCACAATAACAAATGTATTTCAGTAAATCTCATATACGATGTGCTTCAAGTAAAATATGGCCATGTGGGCAGGCTACTGGAATAACGAAGGATGACACATACATCTAGCAGATGTTACAACTCTGTCTAAATTGATGGATAATTTGCACGAAGAAAAGAAGCTTCCTCGCCTAGGTGGCAACAATAACGACTTACTGTTCAAAGCAGTGGGACTGACTTGGGAATGACAAGGTGCAATGCTGTTATTAACAGCAGCAAGTACTATTTAGCTAAAATCTTTGTTTATGAGGGTCGTAAGACAGGCTCAGTCTTAACAGAGGTGACTACTTACGCAAACAAACCGAAAAAATTTCCCAGGTTATACCTGTTAAGAACTGCTCAACTACTATAGAATTTTGATGAAGCACAGTTTTGTTCTTGTGTAGATAAGGAAGCCAGCCATGCAGGAGTGCACACGTGTTGTCAATTTTGGCAAATACATGTCTTCTAAGCGAAATATAGAATTCACGCGAGCCGACATAGTTACATATGTGCATAACGAGACGTCCACTTCTTATGGGTAAGTTGGCAGGATAATAGATAAACATTCGAATGACCTATGCTAATTGGTATCTTTAACCTTGCCATTCAATAGCTTTATTATGCCAAGACCTGAAATCTAAGGTTTACTGTTCTCCACTACAGAGCAGACGAATGAATCACTGAAAAGTCAAACCGCATTTATACCAACTACCGAAAGCCGTCAGACGTATCAGAAGGGTTGTTTCAAACGTATTAGTTCTCAGAGTGTTGTCGGGCCTAGAAGCCCAAAAGGGTTAAATAGTTGTTTGGCCTATTTAGTGACTCGTGTGTTACAAAAGGCTTACATTATATCTAAATCAATAAGTTTACATGCAATGCATTAGCAATATATTTTATGTGAATTAGAAAAAAGATAATTGATGTTATAGTGATGAGAGGTTGTGGGATGTTTATTAATGTATTAAAAATAGCGTACAATTGTTACAAATTTTAGAAAACTCAGACCGCAGCAGTCATTAATCATGATTCATTACAGCTTTTACAGCAGCATCCTGTTTTCCGGCCTACAGCCCCCTCCCCCCGTACCGTACTCCCTTCCTATGGCTTTGTTGGTCGCTTTCCTGTGATTTCCTTTGCCCTCATCGGCTCCGCCCGTGCAAAAGTCGTTACGCACGGTCTCTTCTATCCATTATTTCATAGTCATTTGTACTAAAACCTTCATTGCCGCGACACGGAACAGTAAC